GTTTCTAATCCAAACTATTCTGTGATTTTATGATTGACTTGTGTACAGGAAGCTGTAGTGCTCTGCTGGTCACAGTGGCATCTGGATAAGGAATCACAGGGCAATTTACTAATTAATGTATATTAAATAAGTAGTAGAACAAATTAAAAAAATTAAAAGTAAGAAGATTAAGGTTTATGCATCAGGAATCCCCTTAGACTTCACTTAAAATTTCCATTTGCAGTTTGGAACATATCCTGGCAGACCATTTTGTTAATCAGTCATCACCTGCATAGTAGTCAGAGAGTAGCAATCACAGGATGAGCCAGTCAGCTACCTGATGCAAACAGGAAAATCATGTTAAAATCTCTGGTATTTCTTACAGGAATCCCAGCTACAATCAGCCCAATGAAATCAGTGGAACTACAGCTCCACATACCAGGGATGAACATGACTTCAAATTTAGATGAAACTGTGAAGGTTTCTGCAGAAGACACTGGCAACACAGAGAATGAGTGGGACAAATTTGTCCCTAGCATAACTAAACTTACCTCGATGGAGTTACAGCAAGGATGACTTTGCCTCAGTAAACATAAGACTGCCAGAGACTGACACATGGTTTTAGCTGTATTACAGACTACTGCTGGACAAAGGGATTCCTTCAAAACAACTGCCTCTCTTATTTCTTCTCAGTCTTACAGAAACCTACTTACCTCAGTATGAGCTAAAGAACATGGCTTTACAAGCCTTTTTAGAGTTTGGATTGTGTCATACTTTGTAAATACTGTAGATATTTATTTTTATATATTTTAGATGCTGTGGAATGTTCTAAAATGTATTATATAAAGAACTCTAAGTATTTGAAAGAAGTCTCAAACATTTATTTATATCCTATTTCTATAAATGAGTGACTTATTTACAAGAATGCTTACTTATGCACTAGTGATATTCTGGAATTATTTTGCACTTCTTTTTCTGCTAATCCACTTGTTAATTCTGCATTCATTATGGAAGTTTCACTTCAGATAGATTTGGGGAGATTGAAAGTTACTTTTTCTAAGCACAGACATGCTTCTAAGATATGAACTCAAAGTGCTGCAGGTCACACATGTTTTCATAAGATTATACTTAATAGCCACTATTTTTTTTCTTCAGAATTCAGTGCCTAAAAAATAATTACTTAAATAAAACTTATGTGATACTCAAAGGTGCTATAAACTCAAAATTCCTACTCAGGCCAATGGGAATAACAAGTGTCAGCACCCCTGAAAGGCAGGTCATTTTAACATTGGTAGCTCATTTTAAGTCCGTAATGTCTGCAAGTGTTGCTCCAGAGATGTCTGAGGATCTTTAAAATATAAAACACCGGCTATCTTGCTTAATTTCATGATTTCTCTCTCAGATGCCATTTAATACTAATGATACAAACAAGAGATTTCTATGCTTAGAAAATGTTGACTTTTCAACTATTCAAATAAAATGTTTCTTGCTGTAGATCGAGTACTCACCCATGTTCTGTTTGTGGAATAAGCACAGTGACCTGGCACTCGCTACCATGTATCGTAATTTTTCTTCTTCAAGAATGAAGATGGTCAATCACTGGAGACTTAGTCTACTAGGAGATCATGGCCTATTGGTTAGGAAGAGACTAATGCGTAAAAACCTGAGCTACAATCTCCTTCTGGCACTATTCTTGCATTTCAGCTCAAATTTTTCAAAAGGAAGGCTGAGCTGGAAGGGAAGACATGTTTTTCACTAAAAAGCATTTGATGTAGAAAGAAGACAGTCTCATGCATTCAAAGGTTTCTGAAAACCCAGTTGTTCATAAAGAAGGTATTATTTGATTAACCTATGTAAATATTTTTTCTAGGTTTTGCTTTGACCTAATGTCATGTGTTGTACTGTCTATTATGACATCTATAGTTCTATGAAGCGCTTAATCACTTTACGCTTTAGTCTTCTCAAACAGTTGTTTTACTTGACATTGTTCCAATTACTCCTAGTTTACACTGGTGTAAAGTGAGAGAAAAAAAAAAATCCATTTGTTTGTATATTAAAGTTTTCTATTAAAAGAGAAAAAACAGAATATTCTTTCTATTAGAAAGAATAAAGAGAAATACATAAACAAAGAATGTTTAAGCAACAAATAAAATCATAGGAATTCCTATATTCCTATGTGTAAGCTTAATTTTTTACTGTAGCTATTATGTCATTATTTCAAGGAATTGTTTTACTATGTCTCTTCTAAGAAAACAAAAGGATTTGATTTCATAGTGATTGCAGTTCCTTTACCACTAGAAGGCTATTTTTGCTTTTCAGCCACAGAAAATGTAATATTCTTAAACTGTGTGAAACAAGATATAATTTTTCTATATAATTTGAAATGGTTGGATAAACAGCTGCTGAATTAAAACATTAAAGAAATGGGAGACTAGAATTTCAAAAGTCCTCTATTTTTTCTTCTTATATAAGTAAGAAAAAGTCAAAAAGTTAATCTAATTGCCAAATAACTATCAATAATTTTTCAATTGTGCCATAAAATATTGCCTCAACCCATTGCTGAAAAATGTCATTTATGTCAAAATTCTGGAAACCTATACTTTCTTATCAGAAAATGTATTTTTAGCTTTTCCTTGAAGAGACAGCAACATTGTAGAAAGTAAATGGTTAGATAAATCTTTGCCAGTAAAGAAGGGGGGAGTATGTGTACTTTTCAAACATAAAATGTTATGGATGGCTGTGTAAAAACAGCAACATTCAGCCTTGTCAGGTGTATTGCCCAGATCCCTGTGAGATGATAAAGGCTGGAAGGGTACATTTTTTTTTTAACTTGGGCCAGGTAACAAAGAACTAGAATAGCAATATTAATCACACTCATGGGAAAACTATAAGTAGCATCTTTCTAAAGGAGGGGGTTGAATACCCCATCCCAACACAAACTGTGTTCTTTTTGCTGCTGCCTTAATGCCACTGGGATAAATTGTGTTAGTTCACACCACCACTAGAGGTCATTGGCAGGTTTTGGCTCCTGCAGGTCTCCTGTGACATATTAGAAATGGAGGTTCTGGCCATATTTTTCTCTTTTGTAAGAGAAAATGTCTCTTTTGTTCTCTTTGTTATTTTCACTTAGATCTCCAAACGTAAAATATTCCAACATTCCTAGGAAGTTTTTTTAGCCATAACTAACTTAATAGTACTACTTGTGTGGAGAATGTGAATAAAATATGAAACATTAATTGACATATTATTCTGGGCTTTACTCTTTAGTAAATAGCTCATCTTTCCGACAAAACTTATACTATCAGAGCTTATCTAAGATTTGAAATTCTAAGGATAGGTAGAAAGTCTGTTTCTGCTTGGTTGTAGCATTATTAGACAATCACAAAATGTTTTTGTATACCTGTTCCAACAGATGCAAATTGTTGTGCCACCATCATCCTGGTGTTTTGTCTCTCAACATATATCACAGACTTGGAGGTCTGATATCCTGACCTCTTTCTCCTTTCCTGTTGTCACTGTAGTAACAGTGACAAGATAAGCTTGTACCCTGCAGTCACAATGACTGCAAGCAAATTTCTCCCCTCTCCACCTCAAAAAAGGCATTTCCACCCCCACACCTTTTCTTTTCATCTCCATAGAGGGCACTGTCTCATTCTCACATATTAGCAAAATTGGTGCATGTCATTAACCTGGAGAGTGCTTTATAGGAAGGAGAGGACACTACACGTTAGCTTAACTCATCCCTCACTCTAAGATTCATTGCAACCTACTGCTGCATGTTACAGTAGATTTAGGCCAAGGCAAATTTAGCCTTCAAACCTAAAATTCATCTCACAGTTAAAATTATATACATCTCAGAAGCTAATCCTTTTAATAAGTTTTTTCTCTGCCTGTTGGATATATTGGATTAGTCATTTTTTGGTTTTTTGTTTTTTTCTTGAACATACTTTTGGGAAAAAAAGACATGTATTTGCAATGCTGGCATTAAGAGTTTAATTAATTAATAGAATAAATTAACTAAGTTAAACTCTGAATTAAAAATAAAAATATTTTTAAAATATATATTCAAGACTGAGTTTTGCTGAGTCAACCAAAATTGAGCAAAATACGGATGTGGCTCAAGTTTTACTTTGCCAAGAGGAACAGGATTTCACCCACTACATCTCTATTTCTGCTATACACTGTAAATTTTATGTGAGCTTTATGTTTTAAGTATTCAAGGACCAATCCAATTAAAAATGTTGTGCATGGGATAAGCAATTTGTGAAAATAAAACTCAGGAGCATCATGGATTAGGCAATAGGGATCTGTTATTACCTTGTCCTTCTGGTGCAAAGCAGAGAGTGTCCAGCAAAGTCAGCAGGTATATAATAGTATGCTTTATAGTTGATTTAGTTTTTATTCAGTACCCAAGTCAGGTGCTGACTTTTGTGTGGCAAACTGGTTTTGGTGTATTTTACTGAAACTCCTGAAGTTAGACCCACAGTCCAGTATGGGTCTAGACTGTAGACTAGTTATTTGTTCCTCTGGTCTGCTGTCCATCATGCTCCATAGTTCCTTTCTCTCCTTAACAGATCACGATCCTACTTCACATCTGAAATGAAAACAAATTCCCTTCTCAAATGCATTAAGAAATATTTGCGGAAGATCTACAGACATAGCAAAAGGCATTTTATGGAGAGATTACAGGCAGCAGCCAAAGACTTGCTTTGTTAGTTTCTCCAGAAACCAGTGGGAACTGAACGCAAAGGGAGAACCAGACACCGTAAGAAATGCCAAAGAGCCACATCTCACCCACACACGGTCCAGCTTAGCAGTTGAGGCAACAGGGAAAATACAAGCAAAGGGTGCAGGGACGGCAGCGAGGGAAGCTCTGGGCAGTGGGAGGTGGCTTCATCCACGGTTCCTGACAGAAAGAGGTGTGCAGAGACAGATGCGGTATCGACCCCCGGCGGCTGGCAGCCAGTGGCCCAGCTCCTATCGCGGCGGGCGGGGCGCTGTCCCCGCTGCGGGTGCTGAAGGGGTGGTGCCGCACCGGCACCTGCCGCCAGCCGCCCCGCGCGGAGCTGCAGCCGCCGCGGCTGGCCATGGCCGCGCTCCTCTGCCTTGGTAAGTGCCGCGGGATGCGGGGGGAGAGACACTTGCAGCCCCGGCCTCGCCAGGAGACTTAGTTCGCCCGCAGCTCTACTTACAGCGCCATCCATTCCCCTTTCCCCTCGGGAGCCTCAAGGCGGAGTTGAGCAGGTGCCTGTAGGGGGTTCACACCGGTGTGCGACGTCCGGGCCCGCGGCTGGGTGCAGATCTTCAGTCCGGCTCTGGGCAGCGTGCCTGAAGCGGAAGGGACAGCAAGGGAGGAGGGCAGGCAGTGAGAAGTTGAACTGGCGAGGAGACCCACAAATGGGATGCCTGATTTAAATAGCAGCCACTTGTTTGACAAGTGGAAAGCGTTTAGTGCTGGCACGGCTTCACAGAGGGCTCCTGGCATGTCACTTTGGGTCTGAATGGAGAAAAGGGAAAAATCAACAAAGCTGGTGCAGAAGGGTTTGATGGAAGAGAAAATTACCAGACAAGTATATTCCAATTTCTTATCTTACACTTTCCCCCTCTACATATGGTATACGTGCTGCTTCTCTTTTTAACACTCCGCTACTCTAAACTCATATTCCTCTGTTAAAAACATTTCTTAGGCATTGTTAGAATAAATCTGTCCTTTTTCGCTTTTCAACTGTATTCAAACTGTATTCAACTACAGTTTGCCTTTCTCTTTTGAAGCTAGCTATCTTGCCGCTCTCGCCATTGGATAGAAACCACAGCTTGGTTCCCATTATTTATTATTATCTGCCAGATAATGATTCTGCACTCATGAGAGAGAAACTGTAATTCCTCCATTTTTCAGTTCCCAATTTGCAAAATTAAACTGCTAAAATGTCCCCTTTTCCCCTTTTTTCACTTCAGACATTTTTCAGGATGGGGAATGTTACACCTACCCAGTGAATCAATGGGCACCTCTACAGAAATACAGACACCTGTAGAAATCTAAATTTATGTGTTCTCATGTCAAAACAGATGTCTCTAAAAGTTCTAGTTACAAACTAGTTCTTTGATGCCCACCCATAACATGTCATTAGGTCTAGAGAAGCCAGCTTCAGTCACAGATTCTGCCACTTGGCCCTTTATTTTGCAAAATCATCTGCTCCTTTTTGTGGGCACAGTTTCCAGGTGGGTTTGAAATAAACAGAGCCTGAAATAATCCTTACAAAGGAGCAGCAGGTGCTCACTGACTGCTCAGCCAATCCTACTTTGACTATTCATTTTCAGCCACTGTTTCCCAAAAGCTGCCTTGAAAGGAGGGAGATACCACAGAGTCTTTGTGCTGTGGATCCTAACCAGATCTTCCATTGTGCTAGTACCTACAAAATAGGCAGATGGGTAACCAGCAAAATACCTTAAAACCTCCTGAATTTTAATTTTATATTGTCTTTTCACCCACAAGGTATTTAGCAACTTTTTATCATTCAAATAAACAGTAATTTCACAAGTAGGAAGAACTTTTGGAGACAGTGACAGGACTGAAATGTTGCCAGAGTGAGCCAAAAATTGTCCCTATGGATAGACCAGCTGCACAGTCCTCAATGTCAAGTGACAGGAGCTGTTTCTATGTATCAGTCTCTCAGGCTGACTGAGAGATGCACCCTAGGACAGTGTTTCAGGCTGGAAATCACTGAAACTACAACCAACCCTGAATAAACCTGAGGACTGGCAGGAATATGCACAACTGAGGAAGGATTAGCCTCAGCTACAGTAAGCGTATATGGCCTCTTCTGTGTCTGATAGGCACACGAGATACTGTGTCAGTTATAAAGTATTAAATGTTGCTTCATCTTTTATCAGTGTGCAGCCAGAAAGTGTTCCCTACAGCAGCACTATTGTATCACAGGTAGTGTATCACATTTCCAGAATGGATGGCGGCACCTCTAAAGAGTAGTGGCTATTTAAAGTTATGAAAAACAATACTTGATATGTAATTTCTTATTTCTCAAATGTATCATTGGAAACATTTAATTTCTCTGGATAGGGTCTAGACAAGTTCTGGGGGAATATTTCATGCTTCTTGCAGCTGATGTTTAAGGAATTAAACAGTGCTGGATATTCCTCAAATTCCATATAAACTTACCTGAACATAAGGAAAAAAAAAAAAAGGAGACTTGGTGACTTGGTCTGTGGATCCTGTGTCCTTCAATACCTAAATAAGCACACCCATCAGGATTTCAGCAGCTAGTTTGATGAGGCCTGAAATCAGTGTCTGAAACTTAATTTTATGGAAAATTAAGACACATGGTTACAAATTAGAGATTGTGTTACCATGGCAATGTTGATGAAAGGGCTAAACCCCAACTAATCTGTCTTTTCCTAGCAAGGCAATTAAATTTTCTACTGATAAGCCAGAGGTGGTGCTGATTTAAAATTCTTTACCTTGAAATCTCCATGTCAGTCTTCTGTTTTGGAGTTTTTCAATGCAATTAACACAGCCTTTTGGTTCATTGCACCCAGAGAAACAGATAACAGGTAAAGAATGTGGGGGTTGTTTTCAAGAAATGGTGCATCTGTGAAGTAAAATCAAAGAGGGTGAAAAGTACTGCACTATGAAATAAAATCTCTGTTATCTGACAGTTGTGTGGCTGTCAAATCTCCTTCATTTCGTCTATTCATAGGAATTCCTGTGTAGTCTCTAGCTTGGCAAAATTGCAGTCCAAATAAAATGCTGTTTCCTTTGTATTTTATGCTATCTTCCTTTCTATAATTTATTATGAATCTCAGAACTTCAGTCATTTCTATATATCTATGGGCTAATGTTCTATATATATGTTGTTGCTATAATACAACTATAATTGCTATAATAAAACCAATACAAAATATGCCACACCACAACTTTGAAAATTTAAAATTTAAATTTAAATTTACAGTTGTGAAACTGAGAAAAGATTCATTCTGTTAAGAAGTGATTTGGTAGAACACTTGAATCTATAGATAAACTACAGTAAATTAGATTGTTATAATAGTGTAAAGCAAAAAGCTCAGTACAATATTAAATATTACTGTATTAAATAGTTATTATTTTCTGTTTTTTTCAGTGCTGTTCATGTACTTTACAAGTGTATCTACTGCCCAGACTACTGACTGTCTTCGCCTGAGAGAGCAATGTATAAATGCTGCAAATGGATGTGAGAGTGTCTGGAATGTTGTTGAAGATGCCTGCAATATTTCAGGTAATTCTTTACGGTCTACACAGCTTTATTCTGAATTGCTGAGTGGTTGAGTATTCATAGTTCGTAATAATATTGCTGTGGTGACTGAATGAAGTCAGTGAGATTACAAAGAAAATTACAGCAAGTCAGACATTTTCTGAAGTCCTAGACAGTGGCCAATACTGTACTACTAAAAGTCACACTGACTCTTCAATAAGGTAATAAATGAAATTTCTAGACTATGAACAAATTCAGAATCTGAACCAACTCAAGAAGCTTGAATTCATCAGAAATATGCTCTTGTGGGGATCCTGTCAAACAAAGCCAGCATGCAGCTGGAAAAAAAAATCCAATCTTGTTTTCCGTAATTCTAAGGAGTTGATCTACCCCCTCCCTGGCAGTGTTCAAGGCCAGGTTGGATGATGCTTTGTGAAAACTGTTCTAGTGGAAGGTATCCCTGCCCATGTCAGTGGGGTTGGAACCAGATGATCTTTAAGGCCCCTTCCAAACCAAGCCATTCTGTGACTCTATGATTTTGCACAATACCCATAACAATATAGAGGTTATTTAGAGTACTTTTCAAATAAATAAAGCATGCCACAAAGGAAGTTATATTGTAGGGATGCACACTGTACTTAATCAGTGAATAGTATGTACATGTCAGTGATTCACTTGCAGGGAGTGATCATACGATAAAGTGCAGCTTACAATGTGACTAAGCCTCCTTGAATTGTTAAACAGAATCTCACATGAATGAAACCAGATCAGTCTCTGTCTGCCTCTGTTTATTGCAATCCCAACACTTGGTGCATCATTTCAAAGTAAGGTATGTTTTAGGTGGAGGAAGACCATGTATTACAAATTTGATTGGAAAGTCATCCTAATGTCTGTTGGCATTCAGATGAAAATGTTTCTTCCTTCATTTCTATTATCTTCTTCCTATTATCTTCTTCCTCCTTACTATTATCTTCTTGAACAAGTCATGAGTATCAGTCACCATCTCTCTCTTTAAATCCTCCTAATACCTTCCTGTTAAATGTTAAGTATTTACTTGCCAGGTGCTGTGAATATGGAATGGGGAAAGAAAGTGGCAGTGCAGTGTGGTAGTGTCATTAGACCATGATAATAATGATAACTTTTTTGACTGATAAATGTCAAAGGCCTTGATCTACCAAGGCTACATTAGTACTAGCAAATAAAATGGGCCAAGGACTATTTTCTGACACTGAATTCATCATGGGGTGGCATGTATCCATACAAATAAACTGTCTTACGCCTGTGCTGGCTGCATAGAACTGACTTCTGGGAGTGACTCCAGCTCCACACTATCTCCACAGTCTAGCTGGGTTGCTCCAGACTGGGTACCATGCAAAAATGCAGCAGTACAGACACAGTCACTCGCCATTAGCCTAGCCCATGTCTTGGTCCTCTTAATTAGATGCATTACTTCCATTTCTAGCAACTTAGTTCCATGGGGCAGGTTCCCTGTTGCTGGGAATTAGAGATATCTATATCTCCATGGAAACCTCCCTTTCCCTTATATTGACATTATTTGAACAAAACCAGTCATAATCTGCTGCCATAATCTGAACAAAACAAGCCACAATCTGAACAAAACCTGATGCCATAATCTTTTCTGAGGCTCAGCTTCAGCAGAGTTGATAAAGTGAATGTCTGTCTGTCTTGATGTCAGGATCAGTCTCATGTTTGGTCTGTGTAGGAAGCCAGGCAGCAGAAGATACTGCTTGACTTCATGATCAATAACCTACTGCTAGAGCATTCACCTGCGGCATGAGCTACCTGCATGCCTCTGTCCAACGTGTTGCAGAGATTTGAATCCAAGTGGTCAAGTCAGAGGGCAGTATTTAAAAGAATTAAGTAGGATTCCTTCTTGGTGTTTCCTGTTCCAGAAATGTATCTGCTTTGCACAGAATAGCTGAATACTTCGAAGAACAGAATAAATTAAAAATACATGATAACCTAATGGTTATGACAGTCCCCAAAGGAACTGGGAGGTGTGTTGCTTACCAGGGGCACGGATCAGGGATGTGGCAGAGAGGCTGCCTGCTCTAGTAAGTCCCACGGACTATTACCCACTCCTGGTGGTACATGTGGATGCTAGGGATATAGATAGTAGTAGCCTGGGGAGCATAAAGAAGGACTACAGAGCCCTGGGGAGGTGGTTAGGGGCTCTGGAGCTCAGATAGTCTTTTTGTCAATTCTCCAGGATGCAGGGGAAGACCTTAAAAAAGCTAGGAGGATTGGCCAGGTTAATAACTGGTTAAAAGGATGATGTCATAGTCAGGGGTTTGGGTGTCTTGAACACAGGACCCAAGTTTGTAGGCCAGGTCTAGTGGGGGCTGGTGGAGCTGGTCTGATAAAGAAGGGGAAGAGCAGTTTTGGTAGGAGGCTTGCCAGACTGGGCAAGGAGGCTTTAAACTAGATGTGTTGGGGGAGGGGGGCATCATTCCATCCCAACACACCCCGTCAGTTGCCAGCACCTATAATAAATGCTCGGAGCAATGTAGAGAAATCCCAGCTGCTCCAGCCAATGAGCCGGCTTCAGTTGGAGCTCGGCTCAGATGCCTCTATACAAACACCCGTAGCATGGGGAACAAACAAGAGGAATTAGAGATGTGTGCACTTCTACGGGGGTATGATATAATAGGCATCGCAGAAACATGGTGGGATGGCTCCTGTGACTGGAGTGTTGGAATGGAAGGTTACAGGCTCTTTAGGAAAGACAGGCCTGGCAGGCGGGGAGGGGGAGTTGCCCTTTATGTTAGGGATAGGCTGGAGAGTATGGAACTCTGTCTGGGGACAGGTGAGCAGTTAACAGAGAGTTTGTGGGTCAGGGTTAAAGGGAATATAGCTATGGGAGACATTACTGTGGGGATCTGTTACAGACCGCCTGATCAAGGAGAACCTGTGGATGAAGCACTCCATAGACAGATAGGAAAAGCCTCACGCTCACAGGCTCTTGTTCTCATGGGTGACTTCAACCACCCTGACATCTGTTGGAAGGACGGTACGGCCCGGCACAAGCAATCCAAGATGTTCCTCGATTGTGTAGAAGACAACTTCCTTCTGGAAGTAATAGAGGAGCCGACAAGGAGAGGTGCCATGCTTGACCTTGTGCTCACCAACAGGGAAGGGCTCGTTGGAAATGTGATGCTCCAGGGCAGCCTTGGATGCAGCAATCACGAGATGCTCAAATTTGACATGCTCAGGATAGTGAGAAGAGCGTGCAGCAAGCTCACTGCCCTGAACTTCAAGAGAGCAGACTTTGGCCTCTTCAGGAACCTGCTTAGTAAAGTTCCATGGGATACAGCCCTAGAGGGCAGGGGGGCCCAAGGCTGTTGGTTTATATTCAAGGATCACCTGCTACAGGCTCAGGAGTGTTGCATCCCAACCAGAAGGAAGTGCAACAGGAGGGCCAGGAGACCTCCTTGGATGGATAAGGAGCTCCTGAGGAAAATTCAAATGAAAAAAAGAGGCTTATAATAAGTGGAAGCAAGAACAGGTGGCATGGGAAGAGTACAGGAATGTTGTCCGGGAAGCTAGGGACCAGGTTAGGAAAGCTAAGGCCCAGTTAGAATTAAACTTGGCTAGGGATGTTAGGGATAACAGGAAGGGATTCTACAGGTACATAGCAAATAAAAAACAGACTAGGGAGAATGTAGGCCCCCTCAGGAAGCTCTTGGAAGAGCTGGCAACGCAGGATTTGGAGAAGGCTGAGGTTCTGAATGAATTCTTTGCCTTGGTCTTCACTGGCAAAGGCTCTGACCAAACCACCCAAGTCTTGGAAGGCAGATGCAGGGACTGTGAGAATGAAGACCTTGAGCCCACTGTAGGAGAGGATCTGGTTCGAGACCATCTTAAAAATCTGAACATGCACAAGTCCATGGGACCTGATGAGATCCATCCGTGGGTCCTGAAGGAGCTGGCAAATGAAGTTGCTAAGCCACTGGCCATCATATTTGAAAAATCACAGCAATCTGGTAAAGTTCCCAACGGCTGGAAAAAGGGAAATATAACCCCCATTTTCAAGAAGAGGAAAATGGATGACCCAGGGAATTACAGACCAGTCAGTCTCACCTCTGTGCCTGGCAAAATCTTGGAGCAGATTCTCCTGGAAGGCATGCTAAGGCACATGAAAAACAACAAGGTGCTTGGTGACAGCCAGCATGGCTTCACTAAGGGGAAATCCTGCCTGACCAATTTGGTGGCCTTCTATGATGGGGCTGCAGAACTGATGGACAGGGGTAGAGCAGTTGATGTTATCTACCTGAACTTCTGTAAAGTGTTCGACACTGTCCCACATCAATTGAGACATCAATTTGATGGATGGACCACTCAGTGGATAAAGAACTGGCTGGATGGCCGCACACAAAGAGTTGTGGTCAATGGCTCAATGTCCAGCTGGAGACCAGTAACGAGTGGTGTCCCTCAGGGATCGGTGTTGGGACCGGTCTTGTTCAACATCTTTGTCACTGACATGGACAGTGGGATTGAGTGCGCCCTCAGCAAGTTTGCTGATGACACCAAGCTGTGTGGTTCAGTTGATACGCTGGAGGGAAGGGATGCCATCCAGAGGGACCTTGACACGTTTGTGAGGTGGGCTGATGCCGACCTCATGACGTTTAACCATGACAAGTGCAAGGTCCTACACCTGGGTCAGAGCAATCCCAGGCACAGCTACAGGTTGGGCAGAGAAGAGATTCAGAGCAGCCCTGCAGAGAAGGACTTGGGGGTGTTGGTTGATGAGAAAATGAACATGAGCCGCCTTCAGTGTGCGCTTGCAGCCCAGAAAGCCAACCATATCCTGAGCTGCACCAAAAGAAGCGTGACCAGCAGGTCGAAGGAGGTGATCCTGCCCATCTACTCTGCTCTCGGGAGACCTCACCTGTAGTATTGTGTGCAGTTTTGGTGTCCTCAACATAAAAAGGACATGAAACTGTTGGAACAAGTCCAGAGGAGGGCCACGAGGATGATCAGGGGCCTGGAGCACCTCCCGTATG